CCCGAGCCCCCCCGCCCTCTGGGCCTGGTGGCTCCGTCCACCCAGTGGAAAAGGAACGTACGCCTCCAGCGTGCGAGCAATAGGAAGTGTTTATGAAGGCACTTAATGCTCTTTAGAAGAAAGTGCCAAAGTGCCGGAAAATTTTCTGGTGGTTGGCAGTGGTATTTTGCTGGAGAACGAAATGTTTTTGTTGCAGCCCCTCCCCCTGAAACGTTGAGTCTGCAGATGGACGGACTGCGGACTGCGGCGCTCAGCAAAGAAGGAACTGGAGTGAAAGGAGATGTTGGGGGGTGGGGCTGGGGTGGAGGAGCGAGTTTGGGGATCCTGAGGACATGCCCTACGCAGAACTCCAAACCTGTGGTCAAAGGAAACCACCCACAGGCCAAGTGTGCAGGCGATGAGAACGCAAAGCCCTCCTCACCCAAACCCTCCCGTGACCCTCTGGCGGGTCTCACACGGCCGCCTCAGCTGGTTATCTGAGGTCCAGGGCAGGCCCAGCCCCTCTGTGCCTGAGCAGTGAGGGTGGTGTACCCCTGGGGGTGGGCTCTGCAGGGCAGGGAGGAGCAGGAGGCCCGGGGTGGGGCTCTGGTGCTGCCGGTCACGTTCCGTTTCTTGATCTGGGCGTGGGTTTCGTGAAATCGGCCAGGTTTCTGAAAATTCATCAGGTACAACACTTAGAGTCTGCGCCCGTCTCTGCTCAGCATTCAGCTGCAGTGACACCTTTATTAAGAAACAAGGAGAAGTCATTTCTTCCCCAAAAGGGTGAGCCGACCCAGGTAGGACCTGAATTCCCACCTTTAGAGATTCCTTGTCTGCTCAAAGGCATTGTTTTTAAAATGCCAAATACCTTGCCCGGTCTGCGTGGCTCAGTGGTTGAGTTTTGACCTATGAACCAGAAGGTCACGGTTCAATTCCCGGTCAGGGCACATGCTGGGTTGCTGGGTCGATCCCCAGTGGGCTGCGTGCAGGAGGCAGCTGATCAATGATTCTCTCTCACTTTCGGGGTCGATCCCCAGTGGGCTGTGTGCAGGAGGCAGCTGATCAATGATTCTCTCTCACCATTGATGTTTCTATCTCTCTCTCCCTCCCCCTTCCTTTCTCTTTAAAATCAATAAAAATGTATTTTTTAAAAAAACACCAAATACCTTAAGGAGAATTAACCAGCAAGTTGTTGCCTTTGGCCATGGACACGCATCTCAGCCTGTGGACAGGGAGGCGTGGCTTAGCTCTGCCTACTCAGGACTCTGGATAAAGTCACACCACATTGACTCTGTTGTGTCTGTTTCACTCAGAATTGTGTCTCTGGGGGGCCTCGTTCATTCTCATCACTGGACACAGGGTTCCCTTGTGTGACTGGAACACAGTTTATCCATTCATTGGTCTGAGGGCATTTGCTTAGTTTACACTAATAGCGCTTCTGTGACCTCCTAGTGTGCGTCTTCTCACAGCTACGTAAGCAGGAAGCACGTTGCTCTTGGGTAGACAACCCCAGGGCCCTTGTACGTCACACAGGCAGCCTCACACCTGGGCTGTGCAGGGGGACCGAGTAGGTAGAGGTCCCTAGGACACCCCACAGGGAGTCCGAGACCCAGGTGTACCTGGGAGCTCTCCACCTTTCAGCAAGGGAGGCAGCAGCAAGGGCCTGAGTCACCCTCAGACACCGCCCTGCCCTGCGCCTTCCTGGGCTGGGCCCCGCCCACTCTGAGGGTGGCAGACCTGAAGGCAGCACTGGGTCATCTCCTCTCTCCAGCCTGCGGGGCTGCGGCAGGATCCCTTGCGTGCCAGGCCAGCCCCACTGAGCAGGTAGGGCGGGCGGCCCTTCGGGGAACATCCAGCCCCTTCCCACCTGCCGGCTCATCAGACGCCTCCCCAGGCCGCCAAGTGGGAAGCCGGTGATGTCATCGCCCAGCCCCAACAATCAGGCCTTTCATGGCAGGACGATAACAATCAAAACAGTATGTCAGGGCCTGCCACGCAAGAACGCACACGCTCGTCCGCAGGGAGGATCTGAAGGCGGTGAGCGGGGCTGCCGGGAGTGCGCTGTCTCCTTTCGAGATCCCCCGGCCCGAGAACATAGCCCGGAGAGCAGGCCTGCGCGCCCATGGACGCTCACTCGCCAGTTCTCTGAGAAACCAGGATGCTGTACAGCACCTCCCCCAGGACTCCTCACCTCCGACCCCAGGACTAACCCCAGAACTAACTCTGCACGGAGCAATACTCCGCGGCTGGGGTTCGAGCAGGAGTGTCTCGTTGCACAACTCCAGGGGGCGCTGTTCGCCGACAGAACGTGCAAGGTGCCCAGAGTGCGCAGCCCTGGGGTTCCGAGGCTGCCGCCTTCAGAGTGAGGGAGCAGACTGTTGTGTTGACCTTGACCCCCAGGACTCGGTCTTGCCACAGCCAAGCTCCCTGGCCGGCCCAGCTCCACGGAGCCTAGAAATTCTCTGTGAGATGCATGAGCGCGATGTTTTCCTTGCCCGGACGGAAGTTTCTGGTGTTCAGATGTTTGCCCAGGAAGCAAAGCCACCTACATTGTTGCTTAGTCTGGCGGGTGGTTCTCAGCCAGGGATGGTCGGACCCCAGGAGACCTTGTGGGTCGTGTCCGCTGGAAGGAGGCTACCGGCATCTAGTGGGTGGAGCCAGGGATGCTGCCAATGGTCCTGCTGTGCAGTGGGCAGGCCCCACGACAGAGTGACTGGGCGAGAATGCCAGGAGTGCCAGGTGGAGAGGCCCTGCGTAGGGGAGATGCCCAGCCCCGTTGGCCCTGGGGCCTCTGGTTCCCATTCTCCCCTCCGGCTCTCCTGTCCCCCAGGGGGCCAGGCCCTCCGCTCACTAGCTGAGCGGGCCTAAGGCAGTGCTGCCTGTCCGCGGGGGGTGGGAGCTCAGGTAACCATCTCTTTAGGACGGTGTGATGGTTCTGTGTGAAGTTCGGAGGAACCGACGCATAGAGAGTCATGGTTAAGAGTCCCCACGGTCACTTTGTGGCTGGGTGACCTTGGGACGAGTCACTTAACCTCCCCGTGCATCACCTTTCCCATCTGTAAAATGGGGATAATAGTGGCAGAAAACACGTAGAGGTGCAGGAGAGGGCCGAGCTTGTCGCCACACGTAACATGGGTAGGACATTCTTTGTTTTTACTTTTTTTAAAAAAATATATATATTTTATTTATTTTTTACAGAGAGGAAGGGAGAGGGATAGAGAGTTAGAAACATCGATCAGCTGCCTCCTGCACACCCCACACTGGGGATGTGACCGCAACCAAGGGACCCTTCAGTCCACAGGCCGACGCTCCATCCACTGAGCCAAACTGGTCAGGGCGGTAGGACCTTCTTTACAAGCATCTGCGTAGCTTCCAGGATCGTGCGAACATCCTCTGTGGCAAATTAGAATTCTGGCCCAGGGTTGCCTCTGCCATGTCCCGGGCTCCTGGGTGCGCCCAGGGGTGACCAAGTCATCCAGTGGGCCCGGGACTTTCTGGAGGTCACCACTGAACGCCCAGTGTCCTGGGCAAACCTGGGCAGTCGGGCACCCCAGTTCCCATCACAAAACTCAAGCAGCACTCGGGGACTTTTAAGTTTATTTCCTGGGGTGGCAGGGAAGGGGTCCTGAGTCGGGGCAGGTGCAACACCATCCTCATCCTCACCCCTTGGTGACCTCTTCGGTCCCTGGTGACTGGAGTGTGTAGCCAGGGCTGGGAGCTTTGGGTTTAATTCATGGTCCGGAGTTGATGCCAGTGGGATGGGGCACAGAGGGTGTGGGGGGACTGAGCCTTTCCAGGGGGTCACCCCTAACAGATGCATGGCATGGAGCAGAGCAAGGGGCCCCGGTGAGTGTGTGTGTGTGTGTGTGTGTGTGTATGCGTGTATGTTAAGGGATATCTATGAAGGTGGAGAGGATGGAAAAGCCATGGTCTAGCCCTCGCTGTCGGGGGTGGTGGAGCCAGGAGCCCCCAGAAAAGAGTCCATGACCACCCAGTGAGACAGCACCCTCAGAGCAGCCTGGCAGCATCCCAAGGGCGGGCCTGGCTGGGCTGTGCGCCCCCTGCAGGCGCTGGGGCAGGGCAGGGCAGCCAGGAGGGCCCGGGACAGAAGAATGGCGTTTCTGTGCTGCTTATCAGGACGGTGGCTCCAGCAGGATGTGGCGAGGCTTCCCCAGCCCGCCGGGCGGGTGGCCGCAGCCAGTGCCCCGTCATGGTGAGGACTTTGGCCGGGGAGCCCCACCTTGACTTGCTGGTGACATTGGGCTGGCGGCTCTCCAAGGTCAGGCTGTGGTAAGTCATGAGGACATGAAGGCAGGTGACGGCCATGGGCAGCGAGCCACCAAGTGCTCTTTCCACACGACGACGAGGCCCCAGATCTGGTCAGACCCCTTGACCTTGCTCATGGGAAGACTCTTGTGGGGTCGTGGGTCCCATCCGGTCAGATCTTTCTGCAGCTGCTGAGATAGGAGGGCAGAGACCAGCAACCACAGCCTGCGGGCCTACTCCGCCCACCACCTGGTTTTGTAAATAAAGTTTTATTGGGACACAGCCCCACTCGCTCACTTACATACTGGCTGCTCTCCCACTGCAAAGGCAGAGCTGAGTAGTAGCCACAGACACCTGGTGGCCCTCAGAGCCTAAAATAGTCGTTTCCTGTGAGGTGGCTCATGGGTCGTGGGGGAGGTCAGAGCCTGCCGGAGCCTCTCCTCCCTCAGAAATAAATGGAGAGAGCCCGGACTGCGAGGCTCAGTGGTTGAGCATCAACCTATGAACCAGGAAGTCACGGTTCAATCCCTGGTCAGGACACATGCCTGGGTTGTGGACTTAATCCCCAATGTGGAGCCTGTAGGAGGCAGCCCATCAATGATTCTCTCTCATCATTGATGTTTCTCTCTTTCTCCCCCACCCCTTCTTCTCTGAAATCAATAACAATATATTTAAGAATAAAGAGAAGAAGTAAACAGAGAGCTGCCTGAGATAAGGGGGGCGGGATCCAAGGGAGCCCAGGGGAGAGGCCAGCAGACGGCAACATAGCCAGGGCCCTCTGGGACATGCCGTGGGCCACACGGTCAGGTGTCCTCAGGGCGTGACCTGCTGTCCCCGGGACACCAGACGTTTTCTTTTTTAGAGAACGAGTAGTAGCTCTGCAGACGCCATCACTCTGCTGGGTGGATATTGAGGGGAAGCTGAGGCTGTCAGCAGGAGACGGATGAGAGTTCGTTAAACGAACGGCGTGCGAGCTCCGTGTTTATCAGGCCAAGGCTCTGCGAAGGCCAGTCCTTCCTCAGTGTCTCCTCGCCTGGCGGGCGGCCCCCAGCTCAGAGAGTCTCTTAGGAAAACATTGACCCCAGAGCCTGTGTGTGTGTGTGTGTGTGTGTGTGTCTGGGGCTCCGAGCCCCTGTGAAATGTGTGATGGGCTGAGGTGCAAGCCCGCAAATAAAAAGGTTAGACTCTGAGGATGGTCCCCCGTGCTCTTTGCTGGGGGGTAGAACAGGGGACCGTGGCCAGAGCTGGCCTAACGGGACCATCCAGGCAGCCAGTGCGTCCCCGTTCCGGGAGCCTGGCGGGTGAGCGGGCAGGAGGAAGGGGGAGTACCCCCTTTAGTATTTAAGAATAAAGAGAAGAAGTAAACAGAGAGAGCTGCCTGAGAAAGCAGGGCGGGATCCAAGGGAGCCCAGGGGAGAGGCCGGCAGACGGCGCCATAGCCAGGGCCCTTCTGGGACATGCCGTGGGCCACACGGCCAGGTGTCCTCAGGGCGTGACCTGCCGTCCCCAGGACACCAGACGTTTTCTTTTTTAGAGAACGAGTAATAGCTCTGCAGACGCCATCACTCTGCTGGGTGGGTGTTGAGGGGAAGCTGAGGCTGTCAGCAGGAGACGGGATGAGAGTTCGTTAAACGAACGGCGTGCGAGCTCCGTGTTTATCAGGCCAAGGTCTGCGAGGGCCAGTCTTTCCTCAGTGTCTCCTCGCCTGGCGGGCAGCCCCCAGGTCAGAGAGTCTCTTAGGAAAACATTGACCCCAGAGCTTCCGTGTGTGTGTGTGTGTGTGTGTGTGTGTGTGTGTGTGTGTGTGTGTGTGTCTGGGGCTCCGAGCCCCTGTGAAATGTGTGATGGGCTGAGGTGCAAGCCCGCAAATAAAAAGGTTAGACTCTGAGGATGGTCCCCCGTGCTCTTTGCTGCGGGGTAGAACAGGGGACCGTGGCCAGAGCTGGCCTAACGGGACCATCCAGGCAGCCAGTGCGTCCCCGTTCCGGGAGCCTGGCGGGTGAGCAGGCAGGAGGAAGGGGGAGTACCCCCTTGTCGCTGAGCTGATGGGTGGATCCCTGTTGGCAGCAGAGGGACAGACGTGAGCAAATGGGCCGGAAAGACAAGTGACAGTGGATGGAGCTTCCTTTTCTCTCTAATCCTCCCCCCACCCTCCGGGCCACGTGCCCAGCATTGCCTGCCAAGTGGCACCTCTTCTCTCTCCCTGGAGATCTGTGGTGATCTGACGGGTGCTCCGTGGAGGGGCTGCCCACGGACGTGTCCAGCCCAGATTGCTCAGGCACTGCCTTCCCGCTGCGTTCAGGCCGATGCTTGGCTTTCTCTGAGAGTTTCCTGGCCGTTGCGCAGGAGGCGGGCTCTTCATCCAGGCGTGCGCCTCTCCCCCGGGGGTCGCATGCTGCATTTGCTCCCGTCTGTCTCGTTCCGGGGCTTCCTCCCTCTGCACTCGGATGCTTGGTCTGCGCAGGAAGCCGGCTCTCAAGACCTGGCTCCGACCAGCTGACAACTTGCGCAGCACCGTGTCCTGCAGAGGCAGGAGCAGAGAGGACCGTGGGGAGCACCACCCGGGCCCGAGGAAGCGCTATGCCAGGTCCAGAGCCGCCCGGGAGTCCGTGGAGAAGCCGAGCCCAGACCCAGGGGATCAGGGCCACTGTCCGATTCTGCATCGGACTCTCTTGTCCCACTTCTGAAGTTGCTTCTCGATAAAATGTGGTCGATTCACCCCCATGCCCTCAGGGAGAGGAGACCAAAGTGTGCTGGCACCTCCAGGCGCTGGGAACCCCAGAGGCCTTCATCAGGCCGCTGGGTCACAGCGACCATCATGGGAAATGCTGTGGCCCCAGGTGGCTCCTTCCACGTGACAGACGAGGACCCGAGCTGGGAAAGTTGGATGATGTGTGCAGAGCTGTACAGTTACGTGGCGGAGCTGGGGCCGTCCTAACACCCGGGCAGCATGGAGGGGTGGGGGTCGCTCAGGCACCGCCTTCCCGCTGCGTTCAGGCCAACGCTTTGCTTTCTCTGAGAGTTTCCTGGCCGTCGCTCATAAGAGGCGGGCTCTTCATCCAGGCGCGCGCCTCTCCCCCGGGGGTCGCACGCTGCATTTGCTTCCGTCCGTCTCGTTCCGGGGCTTCCTCCCTCTGCACTCAGATGCCTGGTCTGCGCAGGAAGCCGGCTCTCAAGGCCTGGCTCCGACCAGCTGACCAACTCGCACAGCACCGTGTCCTGCAGAGGCAGGAGCAGAGAGGACCGTGGGGAGCACCACCCGGGCCCGAGGAAGCGCCGTGCCAGGTCCAGAGCCGCCCGGGAGTCCGTGGAGAAGCCGAGCCCAGACCCAGGCGATCGGGGCCACTGTCCGATTCTACATCGGACTCTTGTCCCACTTCTGAAGTTGCTTCTCGATAAAATGTGATCGATCCATCCCCATGCCCTCAGGGAGAGGAAACCAAAGCATGCTGGCACCTCCTGGCGCTGGGAACCCCAGAGGGCCGCTGGGTACAGCGACCATCATGGGAAATGCTGTGGCCCCAGGTGGCTCCTTCCACGTGACAGACGAGGACCCGAGCTGGGAAAGTTGGATGATGTGTGCAGAGCTGTACAGTTACGTGGCGGAGCTGGGGCCGTCCTAACACCCGGGCAGCATGGAGGGGTGGCGTATCCATGCACCCCTCCCTCGCCTGTGCTCCCCTCCGGCCCCGTGCCCTAACCTTCCTCCTTCCTCCACTGCCCAGCTCTCACCTGGGTCGCTGACACCAGAGGACGCCCTGGGCCCCGGGCAGTTCCGGATGCCCCCTTCATGGGTCTTCTTGGTCTTTCAGGAACTTGGCCATTGGAATCGGGATCCAGAACTTCCCAGAGGGCCTGGCGGTCAGCCTCCCCTTGCGAGGGGCTGGCTTCTCCACCTGGAGGGCCTTCTGGTAAGTGCGCCCGAGCGCCCCGTCCCAGGCCGGGGTCACGGCCGCTATGGCCAAGGCAGAGCTTGGGGCCGTCCCCTGTGCCGCTTCTTTCTGCCAGGCGACCCCTCTGACCTGGAAGGTGACCCCTCTGACCCGGGAGCTTCTGGTAAAACCCGAGGACCTGGCGGAACCTCTGTGCATAGCCACGCCGTGCATCGATCCATCCCCATGCCCTCAGGGAGAGGAAACCAAAGCATGCTGGCACCTCCTGGCGCTGGGAACCCCAGAGGCCTTCATCAGGCCACTGGGTCACAGCGACCATCATGGGAGATGCTGTGACCCCAGGTGGCTCCTTCCACATGACAGACGAGGACCCGAGCTGGGAAAGTTGGATGATGTGTGCAGAGCTGTACAGTTACGTGGCGGAGCTGGGGCCGTCCTAACACCCGGGCAGCATGGAGGGGTGGCGTATCCATGCACCCCTCCCTCGCCTGTGCCCCCCTCCGGCCCCGTACCCTAACCTTCCTCCTTCCTCCACTGCCCAGCTCTCACCTGGGTTGCTGACACCGGAGGATGCCCTGGGCCCGGGTGGTTCTGGACGCCCCCTTCATGGGTCTTCTTGGTCTTTCAGGAACTTGGCCATTGGAATCGGGATCCAGAACTTCCCAGAGGGCCTGGCGGTCAGCCTCCCCTTGCGAGGGGCTGGCTTCTCCACCTGGAGGGCCTTCTGGTAAGTGCGCCCGAGCGCCCCGTCCCAGGCCGGGGTCACGGCCGCTACGGCCAAGGCAGAGCTCGGGGCCGTCCCCTGTGCCACTTCTTTCTGCCAGGCGACCCCTCTGACCTGGAAGCGAATCGGGCGCTTCTGGTAAAACCCAAGGACCTGGCGGAACCTCTGTGCATAGCCACGCCGTGCCCATGCGCGTGTCTGTTCTCCCTCAGGTACGGGCAGCTGAGCGGCATGGTGGAGCCCCTGGCCGGGCTCTTTGGGGCCTTTGCCGTGGTTCTGGCCGAGCCCCTCCTGCCCTACGCTCTGGCCTTCGCTGCTGGCGCCATGGTTTACGTGGTCATGGACGACATCATCCCCGAGGCGCAGATCAGGTGGGAGAGCTGCCCCCTCCCCCATCGGTCCTTGCCCCTCCTGTCCCTGCCCCTGCCCCTGTCCCTGTCCCTGCCCCTGTCCCTGTCCAGAACAGACCCAGCCTCCTTTCTTTATTCCCACCCCTTCCTGTCCCTTCGAAGATCCTCCTCAGCCCCTCGCAGCCGTGCTGTCTGACACTGAAAGAAAGAGGGGTGACGGGCAGGTGGGTGGAGAGAGACCAGGGAGTATGAGTATCAGGCAGTGGCATGCACACCCCCCCCAATGAAACAGACTGTTATTTTTGAATATTCTCCCTCTCTCCTTCCCTCCCTCTCATCCTCTTCCCTTTTCCTCCCTCTCTCCCACCCTCCTTCCCTCCCTCCCTCCCTCCCACCTTCCCTGGATGTTCCCGGGCCTGGAACGAGGAGGGAAGTGGGCTTTGTCAGCTGAAGCAATGCATCCATGGCCTCACTGTCTGGCTATGGACCAGGCGCGAGGGGGCTGCCTCTTTTTGTTTCATTTTGGTTTTCATGGCGGAGTGGTTCTGAGGCTAGTTTATGGTCGGATTACGTAAGATCTCCAGGAGCTTCCTGCCACCATGCATTCCCCGAGCATGGATTCCAGACGTTCTTTACCGTCCCCGTGCCTCGGTTTCCCCGCCAGTGACATGGGAATGACGGCCCGTGGCTGTCCTTGTGCGGACAGAAGTTGCTCCGATCGCCTGGCTCGGTGCAAGCCCCGGGCAGTGGCAGTTGTCAGGGTCGTTCCCATCGCTAATGGGGGGGAGGCGGGGGCGTTCTCTGCCGGAGCGGGACCCTGCAGCCCGTGCTGAGGGGGATGGCGTCCCGGGTGCACCGAGACCTCATGTTTCTCCTTTCCTCCCTCCTAGTGGGAACGGGAAGCTGGCGTCCTGGACCTCCATCCTGGGGTTTGTGGTGATGATGTCACTGGACGTGGGCCTGGGCTAGCGCCGACCTGCTCCGACCCCAGGAGAGGCTGCGCAGGACCATGGCCCCTCCTTCCCGCAGACCCTTCCGCTTCCTCTCCCTTCACCTCCCTGCCCCGATTGATCCTGATCAGACGACGACGATTTGCGCTTTTCTTCCGAGGGAGGCACTGGTGTTATTTTTGGACTTTCAAGGGGTCGGTGGGACCACGGACTTCCGGTTGGCCTCTGAGTGGGACTGCAGCTCGGGGAAGTCTCTGCTCTCGGACCTCCAGTCGCTCTCACCAGACTCCAGGCCAGTCCCCGAGGGCACCTGCGGGAGCCAGCTACCCAGAGAGAAGGCTCTAAGCATGCGACTCGGAGCAGAACGGCCGGGGAATTGCGACAACTGTGAACACACACTGAGCCCCGTGAAGGGAAGAGGCTGTAGCTTTGGTCGGAGACCTGTGTTCCAAGTGCACGCGGTTGCCGTGGTTTCCAGTCCCCATGATATTCATGTTGATCAGTTTATAGCCTTCGTTTTTCTAAGAGATTTGGGACACCCGCCAACCGCTAGAACTCTAGCCCTTCGTTTACGTGTGGGCAGGGCCACTTAAGCTAATTTGAGTGAAGGGAAGGCATGTGGCCTCTGTGATGAGTCCTTCTCTGCTGGCCATTTGGTCACTTGTAACCTGACCCAGAACTCCTGAGCCCGGCAAGCTTGGCTGGAGTGCGGCCGGAGCACTTAGAATGAGAAAGGAAGGACAGGTGGGAAAAGGAGAGATTTTTTTACATTTCCCTTTTAAAAGGAAGTGTTCAGCTAGTCATCACTCTGACATGACCCTAACCCATGACTTGAACTAGACTAGAAGCCAGTCTGTTCCTCCGTACGCACAGCTTCTCCAACAGGGGTGAGGACGTGGCTGCCTCAGGTGCAGCGAGGGCCGCCGTCCTCATGGGTCACAGGAGCCCACAGGACCCTGGGGGGCCCCGCGGAAACGGCAGGCGGCCCTGGAGCCCGGCGTCCAGGCGTCGTGTTGTCCACGCCTGCCCTGCCCTCTGCGTTTACATGTCCGATTGCTTCCGAGGGTGAAGGAATGCCCAGAGGCCAGCCTTCCCGGGGGCCAATCAATGTCTGTTCTTCCGAAGCCCTGACAATCAAAACTGAAGGCACGTCCAGAGGTCTGAGGGGTCGAGAGGGCGTGCTCTGGTGGTTGGGGTGTGTGTGTTTTGGTGTCTTTGTATGGAGTTTTCTACACGATGCTTCTTTCTGATGGACAAGACCTCATAACTGTGATTCATACCAATAAAGCGGATACTGTTGTGGACGACCGGCTGTGCTCAGTCCTTCTCAAAGCCGCCTCTTTCCAGGGTGGTTAGTGGAAGAGCCAACTAGAAAGTTAGTCCTGCCTGACGGATGTGGCTCAGTGGTTTAGCGTTGACCTATGAACCAGGAAGTCACAGTTTGATTCCTGGGGTCAGGGCACATGCCCTTGTTAAGGGCTCGATCCCCAGTAAGGGGCATGCAGGAGGCAGCCAATCAATGATTCTCTCTCACCACTGATGTTTCTCTCTCTCTCTCTCTCTCTCTCTCTCTCTCTCTCTCCCCCTCCCTTCCTCTCTGAAATCAACAAAAATATATTTTTAAAATAAAATAAAAAGTTAGTCCTGACATCTTCCCTGCCTGACACAAACAAAAGCGAAGGAAAGCGCTCAGATGACCAAGGCGAGTTGGAGTCCTGGCTGCGTTACAGTATCCGTCAGACGCCAGCAGATTCAGACAAGGGAGTCCGTGGAAGGCTAGGGGAGCTCCCAGCACCCACAGGGGAGCCAGGCTTGAAAATCGGTTCCATCCAAGAAAGCTAGAGGACTGGGGTCACCATGGCCCCATCACATCTCAAACTCAGCCTGGTTCGGTTGCCACGGCTTCCCCCACCCCCCTCCCGTGCTGGTCCCCAGATGCTGAAGACCGGCACCCCTCAAAGAAGGGCAGCCCTGGGCACGCCCTCCACCCCCATGCGAATGAACTCCACACTGACCACCTCTCACACTTCCTTCCACCACTTGCCTGGGGAGGAAGGAGGGGCTGGAAGCCTTACCTGCCCAGGGGGCCATAGCCAGCGGCAGGGGCGGCTCTGCTTTGCCCAGGATGTAGGAACTGGCTTCCATCCTACCCAGAGCTTTCCCCGGGCAGCACCCTGCCACCCCTCCACCCCCAAGAAATGTGGGTGGAGGTTGGGAGCACAGGGACCAGGCGCTGTTCCTTTCCCCTTTGGCATTGCCGCGTGACCACGGGTAACAATCACAGATTCTCAGCGTGTGAGTGTCACTCACTTTTACCCACTCTCCCCTCTCATGTGGGTCTTCCCCCACCCCACCCCCACCCCGCCCTGGCCACACACCCTGAGCCCAGCCACCTGGCCCGCAGGTGTGATCCACTGCCTGGCTGGGGGGAGGGGGGAGGGGGAACCTGGTACCTAGGCCAGGTGAGGCGGAACTGCCTGCGCCTGCGCACATCCCTGGTGGAGGGAGCCTC